TAATAAATTAAAAAGTATTTTCCTTTTACAGAAAACAAACGTTTAAAAATGATATGAGAGATAGTAAATAAAAGATTACAAAAACATAAAAAGAAAAAAAAACCCTCGAGGTCAAGAACATGCCAGAAAAAAGCTCATTTTTTCAAATGATAAATTAAGAAAAATGAATTTGAAAAAAAAAATATATGTTGTTTGTTATAAGGAATCCAAAGGTGAGAATAAAGGAATTTGAAGATAAAGTTTTAAAATAATTTAATAAATATGACGGATAAAAAATGTTTTAATATATAAACTTGTTAAATTATAATTTTATTTCTAAAGTTAAAATTATTATAAAATAAAATGCATTTATTATTATTACTATTATTATTAGTTTTAATAATACCATTATTATAATAATAATTATTATGAATAATGTTATCATTATAATAATAATAATTATTAATAATGTTATTATTATAATAATAATAATTATTAATAATGTTATTATTAATATAATTAACATTATTATTATTATTTATCCATAAGGTAAATTGGAATTAAAAAAATGATGACATTTAAATAAAAACATAAGTTTTAAGTTGAAATTAATAGAAAACTAATAGGCATTTAAGTAAAACATTCGTATTGAGCTGTCTTTTGCAGATTTCTTCATTTATGTGAGATGAAAATATTTTATTTTCCTTAAATTTATTTGCGCAAATTAGTTGTGACCTTGACAAAATTTTATAAATTTTAAAAGTACGAGGTCTACCAGTTTGTAATCATTCAAGAAATTTCATAAATATTCAAAAGAGTGAGAAAAATATGAAAAAAAAATCAATTTCCAAGTTAAAATTAACATAAACTAAAAGTTATACCTTAAAACACTAAAATAAATTTTTATTTTCTAATACATAGTTGATATGTTTTTCTAGGTGTTCAATAATTTTTTTAAATAAAGTATCTATAATAAATGATAAAATTTTGACTTAAGTCTTTGAAAAAAAAAATATATTTATATTTTTTTCTTGTTATTACCAGTCATATTTATTCCTTTTCTGTACACTACGAATAATCAGTTGATTTTCAAAAACAACTTTGAAAAAGCTGTTTCTTATGTGTTTTTGAAAGATAATAGTAAAAGATTAATTATTTATCAAAATCATAAAAAATAAATATTTTAAAAGTATTCAAAATTTCTTAAAATAACTTAATTCCTCGTATTTATTTTCTACACACATGTGTGTAAATATTGACTTCCAAAATTTCATTAAAATACATATAATGACAAAAAGTACGAGTGATATAGAACTATATGAAGTGATGTAAACAGAATTACGTGTGACATGTTTTTCAAAGTTACTGTGAATTTGACTGTTGTTTTTTTTTTTTTTTTGAAGTTCCTAATTCTAATATGAGCATGAAAAGTACGAGTGATGAAATAATAACAACGTATGAAGACTTGTCTGACTGAGTCACATAAACTTTGTACGACCAAACAATGCTTCAATCCAAACTGAACCGTTGTTGAAAACAGCGGCATTTTAGTTACTATAAAGAGGAAGAAGAAGAAGAAGAAGGAGCAAAGACTTTAGCTTATAGCTTACTATACAATGGAATTGAAGGTGGTGACAGAGATGCAAGTGAGCCTCCTGCTGCTGCTGATGATTGCGTTAGCAAGAACAGCAACTGCAGAAGATGATCAAGCCCTGCCCGGCTGCCCCAACAAGTGCGGAGATGTTTCAATTCCATACCCCTTTGGCGTAGGTGTGTCAAGTATCACCGGAAAAAACTGTTCCTTTGAGAGAGACATGAATCTCACCTGCGCAGACTCCATTCTATACGGAGGTAACGTCCAAGTTCTGAACATAACCCTCCTAGGTCAATTGGAGATGAATTTCTTCGTCTCCTCTATCTGCAAAAACAACATTTCTATTGGAGTAACAGAATCCAACGTACCCACACTCCAAACTCAATCCTTCACCATTTCCAGCACGGAAAACAAGTTCATGAGTTTAGGATGCGACACGTACGGGTTTGTCAGCAGTTACGTCAACCAATCTACATACTCAACAACAGGGTGCTTGACATTATGTGGCGACAAACTAGAAAATTTGGAAAACATGCAGATGAATGATGGGAAATGTGCAGGCAGAGGTTGCTGCCAGGTGGATATACCGCCTGCAATGAAGAACATCGCTATACAAACAAATACATTTAATAATTTCAGTAACTCTTCCGATTCCAACAGCTGCAGCGTTTCGTTTGTGGTGAAAAATGGCGGCTACAACTTCTCCATTGATCATTTGAACCGCATCCCATTCGATATGGCTCCCATGATTGTTGATTGGAGAGTTGGAGATGCTGGCTGTAACGTTTCCAAGGATAAAGCCAACTATGCGTGCAAAAGTGATAATAGCGTTTGCGAGGACCCACCCTCTGCCGGTGGAAATGGCTACCTATGCAAATGTAAACCAGGTTTTGAGGGCAACCCTTACCTTCCCCAAGGTTGCACAGGTAAATTATTTAATTATGCTGCCAAAACATTAACATTGTTTTTTCCACTTCTCAAAATTTACTATTTATGTTTTTTGCTGTAATTCTCTCTCATTACATTTAAAAGAACGGAAAACTGG